GCACAGTGCTCTCCTGGACATGTGTATGCCAGCACCATTGTACACATGATGGTTATTTAAAAAGCCTGATCCGATTTTCCAAAGCCGAAGTTTTGTGAACATTATGTTAAATACACAGTAGTAATTAAAATGGACATTTTTTTTGTTGATGCAACTGATATTGTCTTACTGGACCAGTAGAGGGTCTCTGAGGCAGTGCCCACTTCTTACTTCTTTCTCTAACAGGAAATAAACAGTCAGAAAGGGTTGCCAGTTCCTTCTGTGTCCAGGTATCTCTAACCCAAGTGGATCTAAATGCATTTGAGGCAATAGTGGCAGAGCTGGACTGAATAGATGGCCCTGAGAGTATTATCAGTTAAAGACAAATCATTTCCTTTTGGACATGTAAGTTCAGAAGAAGTATTTGAAACACCCATTACTGTTTACCTTTGGGTTTGAATATTAGGATAAATCTATAACATATTATAGAGCCCATCATGGCTAGAAAACAGGTATGTATTTTTTTTTGTTCCTTATCTAAAAAGTAAACGTGTATGGAGTGATGTTGTTTGTTAGGGATTCAGGGGGGCATGCATGTCTAATACACTGGCTTCAGGTTTAATTTAGAAGGAACAAAACCAAGTCACATGGCTTGACCTGCCCATCCAGTGGCGGAAGCTACAAACTTAGCTTCCAGGTTCACTTTTGTCCTTGATCATCTATTATCCCAGCGATATCATTTTAGTATAAGATAGGAAGGAATTATATATTCCATAAATCAGCTAATCTACATGTCAACCCTACAAAAGAGGTGTCGCTACACTCGACTTACAAAGAGGAAACTTTTGTCATAGACTGTCACTTGCCAAAATCATAATGACAGTGGCCAGTAAGGAATAAGTAGATGGAAGGTCCTTGGGACCCTTGGCTGGTTGACAGAAAGCTCAGGTCTCAGAAATGACAGGGTGTTCTTTGCTACCACAGACGGGTGTGGGAAAGGACTGGGTTAGAAAAGTAATCTTTATTTTTTATCTTCTCTGCTGTTTGCAGGCTTAAACTGCATAAGGGCAGAAACACACTCGGCAGTTTTTCTGACTTCACAATACTTGATTAGCTGTCTGAAAGTGAGAATCTACTTCCTTTACAAAATTCTATAATGTTCTGAGTATCCCACCTGCTGATTCGCTTGAGACAAGGAAGCTTACTCCATCTTTGCTGCATGAGATTAATCTAGATCGGCAGACAGGGGCATAGGAGTAGAAACCAGGTGGACGCTGGCACTTGCTGAATTACCCCCTTTCTGAACATAAAGGGACAGTCCTTTATACTACCCCAGTTACAGATAACAGAAGCAGATAGAAAACACCCATCAGAAACAACAAGACAGGGTTTGTTTTTTTTCAAACAACTATCATCAAAAATAGAAGCAGAATAAATTAGAATCTCTTCCCCCCAAGATCTTTTTCTTTCTTTTCCCCCCTTAACCTGCTCAGTTGTATAGGCTATTGTCATTCATTTCAATGAATCCTTGTATTAAAGATTGAAACTAATGCCTACTTTCTCGATAGGTACCCAGGATATAAACTAATAGATTCTGATATTACAATCTTTAGACAAGGGTTTGTTTGACTCCCTAAAATCCACATGTTGACTTGCATTTTGCAGGGGTAGAGTGAAGGTTTCAGTTTTTCCTATGAAGAAATCTCGTGGCTTCTACTTTTGCATTCTAACTCAGTCACTAGTAAACTAGCCAGCACACACTGAGCCCATCAGGTGAGCATAGCGAGTTCTTTCTGATACACCTGTATATTGTAAAGACTAATGAGCATGCACAACAGCAAAGGCATGTGGTACTGAGCTAAATGCAAACAGCTCCCCAGCCTTTAAAAGAACGTGCCCTTGAACCAGAGTCCAACCAAACAAGCCACAAGAAAGGTCTTAAGCTCTAGTCTGTGTGTAGGAATGCTGCCTGATGGAAATTCTGAGTATGTTCTAAAGAAGATGCTGGTTTGTCCAGCCATTTATTAAGAGCCTACTATGTGTCAGGCACGATTTCTGATGTGTGAAATATCATAAATACGTAAAAGAGACAAAAGTAAAAATTTTACCCTTATAAGGTTCACATTCCCATAAAAGGAGAAAAATAACCCACATGGTAAGGCACATGGTAACCAGTGTGAGGGAAATGGAGTAAGGTGTAAGGAATCAGAATCTAGGGGAATGTGGGGTTACAACTTTGACTGAAGCACTCAGGGAAGCTACCTTAGATGTTGGTCCCTGAGGGAAAAAATAAGGGTGTGAGGGGGATGCTTGCCTGGTACCTGGGGGGGTCTAAGAGTGACGGATGCTGGCCATGGAGGGGGGTACAGAAGCCGAGGAAGCATTAAGTAATGTTTAAAGAAAAATGAAGTCACGTATGGATATATGCTGTTACTATGCACAGGACCAGGTAAAGGACCAGTGCCTCAGACCCACGGGAAATTGGCAAAGCCTTCCCTGTGGAGGTGAAGCTCAGAGAGATAGTAAATGCTTCCACTAAGTGTGAATGCTGGCAGTCTGTAAAACCTATCAATCGGGGTTTCCTCCTCCCAAGTGTTTACAGCCTGAGACTGCTGTCTACAGAGACTCCTGTGCATACTGGCCAACCTCTCCCCCGTGCTGCACACACAAAACAATAAATGAGCGGGGTTCCAGGCTGTGAGTAATTGGTGTCCCCATCAGCCTCACACAGCCCAGCCCAGCTAGCCTGTCCATGTGTCTTCCCTTCCTCCGCTACCTCACTACCCCATGTCAGGTTTCCTGAACTGTGCCTTGCAGGACACAGCTGGGAAGGACATTCTTGGCAAAGCAGGCACAGCAGACACCAGGCCCTAAGTGCAATGGGACGTAACCAAAAAGGCTAAAGGCAGAGGTGTGTGCGCGTGTGTGTGGGTGTTGGGAGGGTTGAGGACAGGACTGCAGGGGCTACAGTAAGAGATGAGCATGTGCACATGTGTACATGTGTGCATGTTTTGTACACTCATGCAAGCTGGGATAACCATATGCATTGCAGGACACTAAGACTGGCATCCTCCCTTGACCTTGATTCCTGTCAAGAGCTGACAATGCCACTCACCTGAAACACCACGGCCAGTTACTAGAGTACAAAGACACTAACTAACGGGAAAAAGTACAGTGGCACATATGTGGGAAAATGTCACAGTGAAAGCCTTCACTCTGGACTCTAACCTCAAAAGTCCATTTAAAAGCAGTGAAGGGCTGAGGTAGATGGATCAGCCAGTATAATGCTTCTTATATGTAGCAGATATGCAGCTTGGTCTTCACGTGAGTCCCGAACAACTGGAGCTGGGGTTACCCCAAAAGCTGTTGCCTGTCCATGGGATATGTTCTTCTAGCTGGAATGCCTTGTCTTGCCTCAGTAGGAGGCCTAGGTCTAGCCGGTGTGCAAGGGATTTTTTTTTCCTAATTTCTAAATGACTGTTAATGTGAAAACACATGGCACTAGATATCTCAGCCAAACAATGGGATAACGGGAGAAGGGAGCATTGGGTTACAAAGTTTAAAAGTTAATACAGCTGCACGCAGTACTCAGATTAGTGCTTTAAGTAGATAAATTAAGTTGCAATGTGTCTCTTAAGCAGTCATTGAACGAACAAGATGGGAAGTAAATTGAGTTCCGCATCGGCCTTTCTGGCATCTAGCAACTCTCTCTGTCAGCACACAGATCCTTTTCACCGTCAATTCAACACACATTTTGCAGACCTTGGGCCTGCAATTATTTCATTTCCTTTCTTGGAAATGTAATTTCCACTTACTTTTGGAGAATAAAAGGCAGACAAAGGGGAAAGAGCCGCAGTATTTTCTGATTAAGATTATCTGCAGAAAAGCGGTGAAGGGGGGCGAAAATCTATACGCACGTACTGAGGCATTTCTCAGAAACTAACTTGTCTCTGCCAAATTGCTTTTGTGCTGGATATTGGTTCAAATGCTGCCAGATTGCTGATGTCGAATTAGCGCTCAACAAATTTAATAGCGAAGGCAAAGAATGAATATGTATCATCTTTCTGGGAGATGCAGACAGCCAAGGAAAGAAAGAGAGCTGTGAGGATACGTGTTTTAAGACCCACAGTGAAATTAGATAACATGTAAATCAGCAAAGAAGGCCATTCATTCCAAAGGAGATGGGATCTCAATAGCCCCATGGGAGGAAGAAAATACCAGTCGGCAAAAATAGATCCAAATTGAGTTTCGACTTCATTTGTCCAGGTTTCACCTTTTAAGCCAAGACAGTGAAAAACTACAAAAGAGGGTGGGGGACTCTCTCCCTGACAGAACAGGAAATCAGAGGTTTAATTAACTGTGATTACAAGATTCAGCTGATCTGATTGTCCTCACCTCTTCCTTTTCATTAAGTGACAGTCTAGTTGACATCCTGGCAAGAGAATTAGAGCCCAAGTGTAGACCAATTTCAAATGGAGCCTGCCATTGTTATAAAACAAATTGATCCTCTTCTGCACTGGTCTGCAACATGTTCAATAGCAGGATTGCACCTAACAAAAAGTGGCACTCGGAAATCGGTCTCTGTAGATAACCCTGTATGGGGCACACATAGTCAGTCTCTGGAAAGAACAGGATGAAGGAACATCTTCAAGGGCTAGAAAATGAGACTGGACAAACACAGGCTCCAAAAGAGTCTGAAAGATGTCATGGCTTCTCCAGGGTTAAGGAGCTATTAAGACTGGCTTAGAGCCCAAGTATTTCACATAGAAAAGACAGGTAGGTGTCTCTGGGGCAGAAATACCATCCAGGTCAAGTCTTTGTCTAGGAGGAGAACCCAATGGCTAGACCAATTCAGGACATGTGGAGCTGAAGAAAATCACCAAGCTAGGAGCTTAGAATCAGGGAGAAGGGGGATTGGCAGGCCCCGTGGAAGTCTTTCTGAAGAGTAACAGTCAAAGAAAGGCACGGCAGTGATTACAGATTCGTCTACATTCTACTTAATGAAGAACATTGTTACTTACTGAAAGGTAACCTTGGAATTCGTGCATCCTTCCAATTTACGGGGCCCTTCACCTGGCTCAGGTGTTAGGGGACACGGGTTGTTGAATTCTGCCTCCAGAGTTTTCTTGTTCAAGGCTGATTTTGTTACACTGGATACAGAACCCAACACTGGCATGGACTTGGACTCTGAGGTGGCTAATATCCCGGTAGGACCTTAAAACCAAACACATACCTCAAGTTTAATAAGTCTGTGTGATGCATATCAAGGGTATGAAAGATTAGCTGAAAAGCCCACAGGAAGCAAAAAGACCAAGTTGGTTAAGAAGTGTAAGTACATGCTAAAAGAAAAAAAAAAGTCCCTACCAAAAATCTGTTTTGCTTTGGGGTAACTCTACTTTTTAGGGCACCTGGACCATGCCGGGAAATTGTGTGCAAACCTTTAAGAGGTCACAAAATCCCTAGCCACACTCCTTCACTGAATGGACCTCAGCAACACCACAATTGTGGAAACTTTTTTCTTTTTCCGAATATGGCTTTCTGCCTGCCCTGCTTGAACCATTTTGCCTCTCAAGAGTTAATTCTTCCGAAAACTCAGCTCTGCATTTTAAACAGAAAATGGACCCATGTCAAAAGGTTCTTTCTAAAAGGCTCATGAAGACTTCTTGAGCATTAAACAGCTTTCATGAACATTTTCATTTTAATGTGAATGAGTGGTAAGTGGATTTATTGCCTCTTTAAAAAAAATACAGACACAAGATTATAAAAATTAAGTGGCAAAGAGTTTGGGCTGTTTTCCTTCTGGTCTCTGCTGTTCTTCAGGACAGGATTTAAATGACTACAGTAAGGCTTACTACTGAAATTATAGGCACAGCATTCTAGAACTCCCAGGCTAAAGCTAAGCCTCATCCTGAGCTTTCACTAGGTAGCATGCCTCAAAGGATATCTTAAAGCTTTGGAAGGAACGCTTTTAACAGAGGCCGACTAAACAATCCACAAATATGCAAATTACATGTCAAAATGAACTTAGAACACAACCATGAAGGACGTCACTGAGAAGAGACCTGGGAGATTAAAGATGTCCTGGGATTTGGGGTGTGGCTCTGGTGGGGAAGTGTTTGCATGACAGGCACGGAGCCCTGGCTTCCATCTACAATGCTGCATGAACTGGCCATGGTGGTGCTCACCTATAACCCTAGCACTTGGAAGGTGGAGGCAGGAAGATCAAAAGTTCAAGGTTACTCTTGGCATGTACTCTTGACTAGATGCCAAGTTCAAAGAGAGAGAGAGAGAGAGAGAGAGAGAGAGAGAGAGAGAGAGAGAAAGGGAGAGAGAAAGGGAAAGAGAAAGAGAGAGAGAGAGGGAAAGGGAGAGAGGGAGGGAGGGAGGGAGAGAGAGAAAGGAAGGAAAGAAAGAAAGGAAGGAAGGAAAGAAAGGAAAGAAAGGAAAGAAAAGAAAGAAGGAGAGAGAATCATCTCCCAAATTGGTGTTATACAATAAACTGCTAGCAGATTCCTAATAGTAAAAGCTCAGGAGATACATTCTTTTTTGTGGCTAGGAATATGGCTGAAATACCTATCTCAGGGGGGACTGAAAATTTGCTCAATTCTATTGGACTCTTCCTTTAGCCTGACTCCATGGCACAGACCCCCTCAGGTCTGCTGACAGGTCTGACTTGACTTCATCTGTACCACCTGTCGGGGGAAGCTAGTGTCATGCCTGAGTGCTTTCTGTTCAGATAGGCCTTTTCCTCCCAGCTACACTAAGCCTTATGTTACCTGGGGAATATGGAAGACAGCAAGAAGGGCAAAAAGATCAAGCAAAGAAGCTTCTGGAAAACAGGGATATCAAGTCGAATCCAGGATTCGCCTCATCTCTGTTCTGTTTTGTCCTTGGTAACTTGACAGCAACACTAGGCAGCGTTAAGCATGTCTGTCCTTGTGGGAAGATCTCTTTTTGAATACACCGTCTGCTGCGGGTTTCTACAGCGGAAGCCATTTAGAAAGGAGGGCAGAGAGCTCAGCCAGGGCTGTGTTTTCCTTACATACAAAAAGAAATAAACGAAGAAGGCAGAATGTTTGCAGTGGTGACTGCTGCATCCTATGTTTCCTAGGAGCCTCTTGTTGATCCCTGACATGTCAGTTTGGCAGGCCACCAGGCTGGGTGGAGAAAGGGAGCGGCAGCCAGACCCAGAAGGAAAACTGAGCAAGACAGTGCACGAGCCTAGGGTTGGGTATACAGGGCCTGGCTCCTACCTGAAGTCTCCTTCCTCTACCTGTTCCTTCCCCTATTCCCCAAAGGTCTTAGTGTACAAGAGCAATATCACAAGCCCACGTCCATAAGCCCATGAATACCTGCCCAATTGCGATTCACGCCCTCCGAGTGCACTGACTACGCATACTTTACCAATGGAAGATCATACTCCTTTGTTTGTGTACTAATGGATCTACAGAAAAAGGAATTAAAATAGGACTGAACGTAGCCCAGGCTGGCCTCTAACTCACTATGTAGTTGAAGATGACTGTGAATTCCTAATCCTCCTACCTCTACCTCCCAAGAGGGATTATAGGTGTGTGTCACCATGCTGTTTATGTGGTTCCTAGGATCAAACCCAGGTATTTAAATACTCTAGGCAAACACTCTACCAACTGAGCTATATCCCTGGTCCCCAAGTCTACTGGATTTTTGTGTTTTATTCTAACATCCCTTGAATGGGCCACTGAACACGTTGGTGAAAACTAAATCAGATGAAAGATTCTTATTGTGTCCTCCCTCACGTCTGGAAGTACTTCTGTTTTCATACTGACTGAAACCAAAGTGCCTCCCCTGAGCTCGAAAGCCATGGCTGCTGCCCGTGTCTGACTAAATCCATGAATGGAGAATGTTTCTGAAGGAATGAGAAGGCAAGAGGCAAAGCACACAATGTACTTGTCAGTAGTAAAACTAGAAGCCTGAAGCAGAGGGCCCTACAAGAGCACCGTAGGTGGATTCTGGGGAGGTTGGCACAGGCACCAAGTCACCAAATGTATGGGGAAGGTTGCCATTAAAACAATAAAAATGTCTCAGAATACCTGATGATTTTAAGGTTTCTGTCAGATTGTCTGCTGGGTGGGAAGAGTCCTTGTGTGGGATTTTATCAGTAGAATCTGCCGACTAAACTAAGAACTGAATATGTTTATGTCAGTGTTGCTCCTCTTGCTTCGAGGTAGGGTCTCTTACTGTCCTAGAGCTCACTCTGAAGGCTCGCCTGGCTGCCTAGTGAGGCGTCCCTTGTCTCCTGAGTGGTGGTCCCCTTGTCTCCACCTCCCCATCACTGGGTTATAAGTCATGGATTTCAAAACATGGTTTTTGAGGACGGAACTCAGGGAGTAATTTACCATCTCCTCAGACTGCTGATTTGTCTGTCGTAAGAGCATAGCTGTTTCTCTGGCCAAGTTTGATTTGAGGAATTACTCTGTTCAGTAAATCTCCCTGTAAAGCAGAGCTTGACCACCACAATTCTGTTGTGAATATTCTAAAAAGATCAGCCAGGCAGGATGGCTCACATCAAGAATTCGAGCCCCAGGGAGGCTGATGCAGGAAGGTTACATGAGTTCAAGGCCAGCCTGTTCTAGCAACTTAAAGCTGGTCAATGTGACGCCACAAATCATTTCAATGGACTGTTTCTCATCAAGGTGAGTCTTAAAACTTTCAGCCCATTATCTCTGAGTACTGATTAAATAGTCCTCCCTTCCTATAATATCTCAGAGCCAGCCTTCTGGCTAGCTCCAAGGGGCAGCCTTCATAAATTGCCATGACCAAACTCACACAGACAACTGTATCCACCCAAAGTCTGGGACAGATCTGTGATGCAATATATGAACAATGACTCGGATCCAGCACCCGTCGGCAATGGCGAGCACACACTCGGTGGCAGAGCTGGAGTCACCCGCAGAGTCACGGACAAATTGGGTATGAAGAGTAAAAAGTGACTTCTCTGTATTTGTGACTGATGCATAATTCCCACCAAACTGCAGACCGTGCCAGGCAGAGTGCCGGGCAGGGCACTTTTGATGGACTGCCTTACTTCATCTTGAGAATAATGCTGTAGCGTATGCCTGTTCTCGTCAGCGAGGCACAAAAAAACTGAGTAACTCATCTAAGGGCAAGACAGGGTGGGAATGGAACTCCCAAACCTCCATCTGACGCTGTATTGTTGACAGAAACCATCCTGATCAGAGAAGGGCTTGAGGGCCATCCTTCCCTAAGGAGCTATTGTCAGCTAAAGGCAACAGAGAAGAGGGAGAGACATTTCGTTTGGTGGTACAGCCACTGGTGAGGTGCTGTGTTCCTGTAACTAACCCTCCCAGATGCTCCTGTGCATATAATAACGAAACATGTGTGTGTGTGTGTGTGTACGTATGTGTGCGTATACATATATCCAAACTATAAAAACAAACAAAACTTCGTGAACTTAGAAAGGTGACTAGCTAGAAAAAAAAAAAAAGACCAGTGAGGGAAAGGGGACAAGAGAGGATAATTTCGGGTGAATATGCTCAGAGTACTTTGTATATGTGTATGAAAAAGCCCACCCAGATGTCTTCGTGTGGGCCTTTGTCCTGGGCTATCTCATACTGAACAGGGCCGACCTACAAATGCTTGGTTACCTACAAATAAAGATGCTGATGACTGACTACACAAGCGTCTCCTGAGGTACTGCAGACACACTCTACCCAGCTAGGACTTCTCATTCACATTAAAAAAAAAAAGCTAAACATTTAATACTAATTTTTGAAAGATAATTTCATGTTAAAGGGGCTTAGAGGAAGGAGAGGAAGAGAGTGGAGGACTGGAAGAGGCTTACTACTGCTATCTGCTTCTGCTGTCAGCTTTCTGCGACGTAAAATCCTCTCTAACTCAGTTTCACTGCTCTCAGGGCCAAGGGATTTTAAGCTTCTGGAGCTAGTGGATTTGTTAAGTGTTCCCTAAAACAAAAACAAAAAGGTTAATATAATACAAAAAAGAACAGAAAACACAAACCAATAAAACATTGTCAAAATCAAAACAGAATTAAGAAACAAAACAAATTACATACATATGTATATGTGTATATGTGTGTGTGTATATGCACACATACCCACATATATATATATGAGTTTCTCAAACTTGCACATACACCCTCATTGATACAAAGTACTGGATCTTTCAAGAAGACGCTGCTGACTGTGGAGACTGCAGCTTTGTCTCAGAAGAGCAAGTCACACAAGAATAACTCTCAGGGAGCTGACTGCACAGGTCAACCATAGGGAGATACTTGCCCATTGGTCATGTAGATGTTGATATCTATCCATGAAGGACAGAATGGGTATATTCCACTCACCTTGGAAGAACATCTTCATACATCAGCATGGACCATAGAGCACTAGTCCTCAGGTGCTAAAGAAAACTGTACGGTCTTGTTACTGAGTGAGTGACCCTGGCTGCATACCAGGGGGCAATGCTACTGCTGAGAATCGACGTAAGGGCCCCCAGTGGTCTACCTGAAGAAGAAGCAGGCTGAGCTACCTTGGCGTTAATGTGGGAGAGGAATGCCGTGGTCCTACAGAGATGGACTGACCGAAGAGAACATGGATGCATGCCTTTTCAGTGCCCAGAAGACACCATATACAACAAGAGGCCATCATCAAGCTAGGCTCCTGAAACTGGCCTTGGCTTCTAAGAAAATAAAGACCAATGCCATGGTTTCCTATCCAGGCCCCTCTTGAAGTGTATGATTGAGGCAGAGTAGCTTCCTATCTCCTTTACCACAGGAACATCTGAACAGAGCAGTGATATGCTCCTTGCTTAGAGGTGAGCATGTAGCTTACCAGTAACAAGACTTTATCTCTCGGAAGGGCTCCTCCTCAGCTGTACCATTAGTGAGGGGGTGGGGCAATCAAGAGACCCAAGACCTAGTTACCAAAAACAAACAACGACCTTCTGGATCTGGAAGCAGCTTTTGTTCAGCAAGATTTGCGAACTTGCTAAGGGCTTTTACTCCTATTCCCTCCTAGCTTCCAGCTTCTGGAAGGATACTCAGGGTCCTGTTGTTTAGAAATGGTAATCCTTTAGACCATAAAACAGCAAAAAAGTTCCTTTTGAAAATCAGAAGGTTACAAATCTCACACAGGAAAAGTTGTTACAATGTCCTTGTTATCTTTAGGCAGAGACCACACCTACTTAAAGATACAGAAGTGGGGTGGGTAGGAGACTGTAGTTGCTGCCATCTGCTTGATCAGCTGACATACTTGAAGAAGGCTGGTATTTTGTTTCAGCATGAGACATTTTTTTCCCCTGGAAATGAGACATTTTGTTTTTCATTTGTTGCAAAGGTTTGTAAACTATCCTGAAGGAACATGACATGTGTGATTTAACAGCTTATTTTAGTTTAGAAGTGAGATGACTTGGTTCACTGGGTTGTGGGTCTCTATCTACTTGTTGATGAAAAACACAGTAAGGCATGATTGTTCCTGGGAAATTAAAGAGAATGAATGGCCACTTTCCACACACTTGAAAAGAATGTAAAGAACAAGTATCCTAACATCATTTCTATTTAAGCTTCTAGGAAACTTACCATTTGAAACGCTTGTGAGCAGCTATTTAAAAACCGTACGGTTCTCACCGTGAAAATAACTTACAGAGCAGTCACATTGTTTGACTCTCAAGGTCACTGTATGATTTCCCCCAAGGGAAATGGCTGCTGGAAAGGAAATGACATGCTATCTACTGTTGTTAAATTCATCTTTTGCATGGTCTTTCAGCTCTGTCTTTGGATAAATGTTACTTCCCCTCAAATTCTGGCTATGGTGCCAAGGAATCTATTTTCTAAGTTCTAACCTGTGAATGCCCCCCCCCAATTTTGTTTGCTTGCCCCCTGATGTGATTGATGCCCCTAATGTTGAGTAAAGTTTAAAGACGTTGGCAGTTGGAGGACAGGAGAGTTCTGCAGGACCCTCAGATGAAATGAGGATGGACTTGGCTAATTAAGATTATTCTACCTTAACTGAGTCATCTATTAATTCTATCTTAATAGAATAATCTATTCTTGAGATTTTTCTACTTCAGTATCTTTTTTCTTTTTCCTCGAGACAGGGTTTCTCAGTGTAGTTCTGGCTGTCCTGGAACTCACGCTGTAGACCAGGCTGGCCTCGAACTCAGAAATCCGCCTGCCTCTGCCTCCCAAGTGCTGGGATTAAAGGCGTGGGCCACCACTGCCCAGCTCTACTTCAGTATCTTACTTCTCTATTGGATTCATAAAATGCACCAGTCAGAAGATGGCTCAGAAGCCATGTGGCACATACAACTACTTCACTTCACAAGGAACTGGAACCTAGTGAGGCACAGGACCCACAGTAAGTCAGAGACAGGCCTGGGTTTTAGATCTAGATCAAAACCCCAAATAGTTATCTTACAATTTCAAATCACCATTGCATTCAGCAGTCTTAGTTACCAAGTGCTTCAAATGTTACAAATGTTACCACACTAACCTTCAATCAAATGTTACAAATGTCACCACACTAACTTTTATCTGTCAAATAAAGACTGGTCCACCATTGCTACACCTATTGAGAATGGTGAGAGGGTTTCTTTCCCTTGGAGCTACAAAGCAAATGTGGGGATTCATTCGTATCGATTCTCATTACTCCAAAGCCCAAAGTTTACACCATGGATTACAATCATTTTTAGCATAAATGTCCCCATGAAGTTTTTCCTGTTGTCTGTACTTGGGGACATCAGAACACCTATCTGCTGTGCCTCCTGGTACAGCTGTTCCATTCCTACCTTGCTGGAAGGCTTGTGGCTCACCGTAGCTCTTAACATTTGCTTTGTCACATGTCATATTTACCGGGATGGTGTCATGTGATTTCCTCAGAACTAACTTTAATAAGCTGTATAGTGTGGACCCTAGCTGGGAGCCCTGGAAATACCCTATGCTGGAGCCCCATTTTCTCCCAAGTAAGAATGAATGTGGAATGAACATGGTTTCTTGGCCCCAAATACTGGGGGCATCCCTCAAACAAACTCCTGCCAGAGTAAAAGAGAGGTGCCATTTGGCAAAGAAGAGTAGAGATAGGGTCATGGGAGTCCACACTTAGAAAATAAAAAAAACCCTTAATACAAAGAAATATTAATTCCGGAATTATTACTCCTACTGATACATGAATCCAGAAGAGGGAGAGAAATATAATGAAAAAAACTCTTAAAAACAGATTTGATAAATCATAATTTCACAAATCTATCTACATGAAGTAATATAAAACTGTAGTGAATATTATACTGAGAAGTAATATGTGTGCTATGGATACAGACTGGTGGTCAAGCACAAGCTTGCATGTACACAAGCACGTGTGCGTGTGTGTGTGCGCACACGAATGATAATGCTACATTCATTAAGCTTGCTACCATCCAGCACTGTCCGCTGTTGACATAATTTTTTGCATAATTATTATCTGATTTTCCTAATAAATCAAAATTCTTAACAAGTTAAACTAAGTCTAGTTGACTCTTAAGATATCAGAGCTGCTCTTCCCTCTCCTAAAGCCCCAGGGACTTCTTCAACCACAGGAATTAGCATTCAAATAAAGAAGTAACAAAAGGGGCTGTCCCAGGGGCAGAGCCCTGGATGACAAAATCTTCCATCATAGGGTCCCTATGGTAAAAGCCAAGTCCTTTGTCAGGGGCTGCCTAATCCTTGATTCTGTAGGTAGACCACCACTGTTAGCCAGTGATACACCACTCTTCAGGGCTAATCCCACACACTTAAAACTAAAGCAAACTAATTAAGCTATTCTGTGAAGTCTACTGTTTAAAGTCATTCTTGATGAAAATAGTGTTGTTTACTATCGTTATGCGGACGTCTACCGCGATGCTTAATTAGCACAGTAACAACAAACAGGGGAGGGATTATTCCCGCACCTCCGCCCCATGTCTGTTGACTAACTGTGTATAATAACTAGGGTCGGGCTGAAATAGAGCTCAGTCTGAAGCACTTCCCGTGAGACTGTTGGAGAGGCTCCTCAGGAGCAATCCTACAGGCCCCAGCTCCCACTTGGAAAAGAGACACAGGGCTAGAGGTGGGCAGTAGACATGTTTTCCAGCAGGCAGGAAGTACTTTGAGAGAATGAACTTGGTGACATAAAGACTTTCATGGAGCTGGAAACAGAGCTTGGCTGATCCAGTGCTTGCCTAGAAGGCTTGAAGCCTTGGGGAAACCTTTGGAATGAACCCCTAGCACCCTATAAAATGACTATGTTGGAACGAGGGTATTCTTATAGCAAACAAGGACTTGCTGAGTGTGTGGCCACCCTTGTAGAATACAGTCAACAACAAGGCATTTGACATGTGTGCTGGAGGTAGTAGCCATGGTGCAAAGAAATGAGCCTAACAGTGGACATAAAACACGCCCAAAGCAACTATTCACAAAGTCAGAGGAGAAAACAGTCTTCCGTTTCCCCACAACACAGACAGCAGCTCTTACCAGGATCCCCTTCAGTTCATCCACCGCACTTTCTGAGCCCTTTAGAGAGTCTGGCTGTAATTCAAAAGGGGGAAAAAGGAAAGAAAGAAAAAGAAAAGAAATTACTGTGTGATTTGATTATAAAATTTGAAATATTTAATTTTTTTTATGAATTAAGTGTGTGTGGTGAGGGAGAACAGCCTGCGAGATTTTTCTTCACCTAGGGGGCGACGAGCAGGGAGCGGGGAGCGGGGAGGGGGTCTCCCACGAATGGATCACCAGGCTCAGTGGCAAGTTTGTTAATGCGCTGAGCCGTCCTGCTGGCCCCATATAAAGATTTTTATGTGCTAAGTTGTTGGTGATCCTTGTGGAAGTGGAAGGAAGGGTTATGTGCACAAGTACATGAGCCGTGGGCACAGAGGAAGATGCAAACGTCCCTCTTCATCTTTTCTGTATCTTGCTCCCGTGAGACAGGCTTCTCACCAGACCTGGAGCTTGCTGATTTTTGGAGATGCTAACAGTCAGCAAGCCCCTTGATCCTCCTATATCTGCTTCACTCTCAACCTCCCTCGCCCTCCTTCTACCACCCTCCCTCTCCGACTGAGTTATAAGTGGGTGCAGCCATGTTCAGCTGGGTGCTGGGAACCTGAACCCAGGTCCTCCTTGTTAGTATTTTGTCTAGGCTCTGCCTCACAGTTACCTGGCAATAGCCAGGTATGCCTGATTTACTATAAAAGAGCTGCTTGCCCCTCTGCTCTCTTTTGCTCTTGCCTTCTTGCTCCTATTCTTCTGTTCTCTCTTCTCTCTCTCTCTCTCTCTCTCTCTCTCTCTCTCTCTCTCTCTCTCTCCCTCCCTCCCTCCCTCCCCTTCCCATGCCCTGAATAAACTATCCTATACTATACCGTGTGGCTGGTCCCTCAGGGGGAAAGGATGCCTCACCGTGGGCCTGGGGAGGTACCCTCTTACCCCAAACCTAACTCTACATCCACCAAAACATTTTTTCTCTCCTAATCTTTTTATAAACACAACAGTCCTCACACCTGCACAGCACGCAGCTCGCTCACAAGCCGTCTCCCTGACTAGTGGTATGTGTCACAATCAGTTTTGTTGTTGGGTTGTTTTTTATTTTTTTGTTTTTGTTTTTTTCCACTTGAGATTTGGAGGAAAACATTAGCCATTTCAATGCTACCAGATGGCCACCGAATAAAAACTTAGAAGGTATATTTAAAGCAAAAGGATTCCAGCTACCTTCTTCTAAATACAGATGATAGCCTTGTGGCTATCATCCTATCTACAGAAGGTTTTAGTAAATACTAGATTTTAAAGATTTGGTTCCAAATCATCTGATGTTTTAGTAGCAAGCTGTTCTTAGACATAGCTTAGACTTCTGCCAGCAAAGGAACGTAGTTCTAGAGAACCATGAGAGCAGAAAACAGGTGCTGGGCAAAGAATTCTTGTGGCTCTCTTAGTTCTAGAAAGGCTGACCACCGACAGGAGATGGGCCTTTCCCAGTAAGACCATATCACGGGGAAAGTTCTCCAACAGAGAATGTTAGCACCCCTGGCTGCAGGAGCCTTGGAACCCAACAACCCAGGTTCAATTCTGGGCCCATCTGGTGAAAGGAAAGAACTGAGTCCCCCACGTTATCCTCTACACACACGTACAAGCATACATGTGCCACACGGACAATTGTAATAATAAATTTAAAAAGATGATCCCATTTCCATTTTTTCAAAAATAAAGACAAAACCATGCTGGGATGTTCAACCTTCCCAGCTGAGGTTTCTGAAAAATGAGAATTTCCTCAGTATCAGACATAAGCGGTAAGACACCAATTCTAACCAGGCCGGCTCTACCTACCCGGACTATCATGAGATTTGGAAAATAGGCCAGGAAATAATTATCCACACTACACGCTTATCTCTTAGGAAAACTGACATGACAACCATGTCTTTCAGACCAACGCTCTACCTAAAGGCACAGTCAAAAGAGCTGCTATGCACTTATGTGATTGTGGCTGCTGAAGTCTTCTGGAGCAGCTTGGACCACACACTATCAGACTGTGACATTCTGGGACTTGTGGTCCTGGGGAAAAGGTTTGAATTCAAATGCACACTGACCATGTACAGCAGAGGTTATCAGCCTAGTCACTCAGTGCTGCACGGACACAGTCTGATGGCAGTGGGCTACACTAACACAGTCTGATGGCAGCCAGTGAAAAGCCCAGCTGTCCACAGATCCTAGCCGGGGTGTTTTTCAGATTCTGAGCTCACTTGAAATAAGGGCCAATTGTTTCAGGAGAAGAAAAGCGGAAGGAGTGTCTTGAGGCTGAGAGCAGACAGACACAAGGCAGCTTTTCCTTTAAGATGCTGTTAATGGGTTGTTTGTTGTTTGTGAGGTAGAGTCTTTCCCAAGCTGGCTTCTAACTCATGGTACTCCTTCCCTGGCCTCCCAAGTGCTGGGATTGTAGGCATGAGCCATCACGGCAAGCTCAACATTTTTCACTCTGAACTAATTTGGTTTTATTATGATACTATATATTTTTTTCTTTAGAAATAGTTTGCTCTCACTTATTTTTTTCCATAATGGCTGTGACGTAAAAGACAGGAAAATATTTTTCTTTGCAAGGTGGCATCCAGACCCTTCATTTTAAAATGCTTTCGTATTTCATTCCAGTTGATTCTTACAACTGACTCATCCGAGTCGCCCACAGGAGGGGCTGGCCAGCTGCAGCACCCAAACTATTACAGGATTATTCTACCCAACTTCCTTTTATCTCTTCCTTCCCTAGTTAGAACTCTGCTTCCAGATCACTGGCTCATACCTAGGAGACACAGTTGGCTAAAATTTCTGTCTGCCTAGATGTGAGGTAAGACTTCCTTCTTTCTGAATCCAGGCTACCACGAACACTCCTACCTTGCCTGTCTGTTTTGCCTGCTGATCACCAAGTGGCAACTTTGGAGGTACCTGAGAACTTGTATTCAGTAGTTATTCAACAGGAGTTCATAAAGTTAGAGGAGAGTGGCCTTGGGGCTGAGGAGCCAACTTCACTGGCAAATTGTCTTGCCAACATGTGAACTTGGATTTGAACTCATTGAAAAGAGTTTGGTGTGGTGGCATATGCTTATAATCCCAGCTCTGGGGAGATGGAAGTTAAGAAAACCCCTGGAGCTCACTAGCCAGACAGCCTAGCCTAGTCAGCCGACTCCAGACCAGTGAGAGAGGCAAGAGTCATTTCCAAGGGGCAGCTCCTCAGGTTCCCCTATCCTCTCTCTATACACATGAACATACACATCACAGACATGGATGTATCTGCATGAACTGACAGAGACACAAAGGCACAGATGTATGTTCATGCCCACACTCACTTACTCACAAAAGAGGAGCAGTCTTGAAAGGAAAATAGAAGCAAGCCATGGAGTATGATGAACAAAGAAGGAAAAGAAGGCTGCCCACATCTCATTAGAGTGAGGAAAGAAAGGATTTTTTTTTTTCAAGAGAAATCTCAAAAACTGTTATTGGGCCTGTTTGAATGTGACAGACAGAGACAGGGGTGGGGGCAGGAAAGGCCTGGTTGGGCTCTCAGCATGCATTCCCTCACTGTGTTACTTGGGAGGCAACTGCCAGTATTCAGGCAAACTAGCTTAGTCTACTACTAGGTCTCTTCCACTATTAATATGTGGTTTCCCCTAAACACAAACTGAAGTCTCAAGGAGGCAAGTCTGTGTCCCTTACTGCCTTATCCCCAGTGCCCACAACAGTATTTGATACAGAGCAGATACTGAGAAACCCACAAGAGAATAAGAGATCAAAGAAAAGAGAGGTAATAGCAACTGTTAGTTGTCTGACATGGTGACTCTCATCAACGCCCGTCTGGAAGAGATGACAACACCAGGCAATAACATGAATGACCTTCCAAACTAGCTCAAGCTCACCTGAGGTCACAGAGCCCCCTCAAAATAGGCTCATACAGAACTGAAGACTTCTTGGACACATTACCTTCCAAGTCTTAGCTGTTAGTCCTTCTGTAGCTTTATCAGATTCCAAACTTTTACATAAAAGAGGAGAAGGAGGAGGAGGAAGAGGAGGAAGAGGAGGAAGAAGAGGAGGAAGAGGAGGAGGAGGAGGAGGAGGAGGAGGAGGAGGAGGAGGAGGAGGA